GGAAAAATAAATACAAAGGTCAATTAAATGATAAAACATGAAGTAAAGTTCTCCTTTTTAATTAATTTGGTGCATTTTAAATGTATTTATTAATTTAAAGGTTCATTTATCTATTTCTGCTTTTATTTCTAATTATGTCAGTGTTGGTTCTCCATACTGCAGAACATGAAGAGGTAGTTCAGTGACTGGATCAGGTGTGTTGGAGCAGGAAACATGTAAAACATGTAGGACTGCAGCCCTCCAGGACCATGATTGCCCACCCCTGTTCTAGATCATTCAGCATTCTGACCTTGTAAGTGAAAATTGATTTTCTCTGATTGCTATCCCGCTGTCAGAGCATAACTGCATCATTGAGAAATAAAGCATGGGGATAGGAAGATAAATAGGGTCATTTGAGCTAAACCCAGGTTCTCAGCTGCAGCATGGAAAGCCTGAGAGACAAGCATGTCTCCAAAATGACCTGAATCTGAAACCTGTGACGCCTTCAGATGTCTTTCTTCTCTCTGCTTGTCGTCTTTCACGTGGATAGAAAGCCTCAGGTGCTCACACAGCATCATCCTCATCATCATCATCGCTACCATCATCATCCTCAGTGGGCCATATGAACTCCAAAAATAAACGTCCCCATGAGGTCATCACACAGCCCTGGGCTGTGGTCACCTCTGAGAATAGAAACAGCCCTGGCAGGAAAATTCACTAACACCCCTTTGCAAACAGAATTTTTTTACTACACAAAAACAGATCGGAAATATTACTTTACAATATTTGTATCCTTAACTTTAATTTAACAATTCAAACTTTCATGGCAAAACATAATCAATGAAAATTGTGCTGTGTTTGTACTTATAAATTACGTCAACAGGTTTCACTGCATTGAGTTGAATTAATTTATTCAACTTGGTTCAGTGGAACCTGTAAATTTAACTGCAATTTTTTTACAGAGCATCTGTAACTCTTTCTTGATGAGTTCGGTCATGTTTAAAATTGTAATGTGTAACTTCTCTTCTGTCAGTGAGCCCCAGGGCAGCTGTGGCTACAGTGTAGCTTACCATCATCAGTAGCTCCGTTTCCATTCACCATGAAAATGCGCAAATTAGAATTTCGAAAATAAATTTGCTCAATGGAAACACGTCAATTTGGACAAAAATTACGTTTTTCAACAAAATGTTTTTGCACTAGGATGAGGTGGTTTTTCGGTCGTATCAAAATTGGTGTTTTTTGCAAAACTGCAATGGAAACAGTTTTTTCACATCACAGGAGTCACGTGATCAACAACCGTCTGTTTCTACTGGTGAAAAAGACGATGATGAAGAAGATAACAGGAAGTAGAAGTAGTAGTAAAGTAGTAAAAAAAGGTAGTAAAATCACCGACTACAATTCTCCCAAAAACACAGCATACGTAGCCGCTCCCAAG